GATAAGAGTCATGCTCTACCAGCTGAGTCAGCCAGGCCCCCCAGGAGATACTCTCTTAATAATTCTTGTCTCTCCAGCACCTGGGAGTGCCTGAAACATCCACGTGTGAGCTTATAAAGCACCTGCTGAAAGGCTGAAGGAATGAGATAGCTCATTCACATGCGAACAGGATCAGAGAAGGACACACAAGTTAGCTCATCAAAGCACTCCAGCTGTCAGACATGCTGCATATCTGGTTTTCTGGGCTGTGCATATCTGGGCTGAGCATATCTGGTTTTCTGGGCTGTGCTGCTCACTGGGGACTAGCAGAAGAGCTCCACTCTGGGAGAGCAGCTTGCCCCGGACTCATTGCTCTGGCTCACTCCTATGCTCTCCTTCCTGCAGGAACTTGTAAGCTCACGACAAAAGGAATTGTTACCACGTGTAATGGGTAGTAAAGTCGTAATTCTTAACGACTTTAGCAACTGCCACAAGTGGAGTGTGTAGTTTTTTAAAGGTATGGATAAATTAATCAATACAGATGTGTCTAATTCACAAAAGATCGATTAATGAAAAATGGAATTTTTCTAAAAATCTTTGATGTTGAGTTCAAGGGCAGTCAGACCACTATATAGCATGTCTTTGGTGCCAGAGGCTTCTTCATGGGCATTAGTTCTGACCAGAATATAAATCTTAGGGGCCTAGAAGCCAGGAAAAGAGCATACTCTTCCTTCTTGGCAAGTTAACCATATACACTGAATTTAATAGAGCATATCTTTCATGGATACAAAATATTAGAAGCAGTCTTGTGAAACTTAGAGCACTTACAGGACTAGGTTCCCTGCTTCTCTTAACAAGTACCCTTCTAGCCCATAAAGCAGTACATTTTTAGAATCTATGTGTCTTTGTATCCACCTGTTTGGTTTCATAAGTACAGCAGTTATAGTATGTTAATCATCTCAAGCTGAATAGTTAAAACAATCATCTTACCTCACAGTTCATGTTATTTTTCAGGCCTTGAATGTACTTGTCCAATTCAAGCCTGAAAGTACGTTCTTAAGGAAGCAATAAAGGATGGATCAAGACAGTGTTTTTATCTCTCAATGGGAAATATAAAATCTCTCAATGAAAACTGTAAATTCAAAGACAAAGTGGTCGTATGAAGGTATGAAATGAAGCAAACACTTAAGGGGTAGAAAAGCTCTTAAGAGGTTGGTAGTAATACTCCTCCACCTGGCTTCCCATGTTTTTCTTCCTGGTACCATCAAAGACAAAAGAAAGGATATAGCTCAAGTCCTTTTTCAGACCCTCCTAAAAAACAGACCACATACTCTGAAGCGTTACGTTCAGAGTCCACTGTTGCTGTTTCAGGAAGCAGTTTTTCTTGCTGGAAAAGACAGTAATAACAACCGACCCGGTAATCTGGAATCCTGGAAAAGAAAAACCAGTAAAATGTAGTATTTTGCTAACTCATGCACCTAGTTTTACGGACTGCTCTGAACCCTGATCATCTGGATCTGGCAATACTGTTACATTGCAAACGGGGTCGGAACTTCCTAGACTTTTCCTTGGTTTACTTGTAATAGCAGAAGAAAATTAACATGCACCATCATGGGCTTTAGCGAAAGCAGCACCTAACAGAATTCCTTTGAATTCTCCTCTCTTACGTGAAAAACACATACAAATTCTCTTGTCATTCTTGGTATATCCACATTTACATAAATATAACCATGTTCTCTCTCTCCCCTGAACCCTGACGCTCCGGGCAGATACAACATGTTTATCCTGTGGCTTTATCTTTGGCCTGTGGCTGTCCTCTGAGGGGACTTGATGCTAAAATCATATTCTGAAGTGAACTATAGTCAAGGGATGTAATGGAAAGATGGCTGGAATTCAATGGAGGACACCTATGTTTACACCTGAACTCCATCAACATGACCAGCCTTGTGATCTTAGTGCCTTTGACTATATTTGCTTCTCTGCTCTTTGACCCCTTTGTAGAGAGAATGGCATCAAAGTTTGTGAAAGCTCTTTACAGACTGTCAAGTGTACAATTTTCGTTTTGGTAATTAACTCTCTTCTTCCAAGTGCAAGACTAAATAAGTGCACTTAGGAGGCAGAGTCTGCCATTCAAGTAATTCCATTCCACAATTGTGTGTGTGTGTGAGAGAGAGACCTAGTGCTCAGGCCTCCAGGGAACAAAGATGCACTTTGCAAGTCTAGTAAGAGCTGATGGTTTGGAATTTCTCATCACTTCTCATATTTAGCCCAGAAAGAAAAATTCAGGACACAGCACATTTTACACTTACCTCAGCTCCACAGATGCAACATTACCCAGCCCTTCAAACACTGCTCCCTTAGAAAGACGCTTAGCAATGAAACTGCGCAGGTCTGGCTCCGCTTCAGATGGCAGATTAGTGTCCACCAAGGAGAGGCTTGACAAATAAATAAAAGACACACATCCCTTACCAGTGGACTAATGCACGCGCACCCTGTAAGGCAGAATATTACCAAAAGCCCCAATCTCTTTAAGGACTTGAAAAAGCTTATGTTTCCTGTTGGGGAGCCTTCTAGGAGTGTATGTCGCCAAGTAGGATCTACATCATCAAACACTTAAAATAATCCTACCTTTCCAGCTCATTCTCTCTAGTATTAGGACTCCACTGGAATCCCCTCCACTCACCTTACCTACTTTTCACAATACAATACTATTGCAACACCTGAAAAATTCCTTAAACCATCCATCATCCAGTCCGTGAACATATTTTTGTAGTATACCCTGCTTTGTATCAAGTGTTAAGGTTCATTAATTCATCCATTCATTTATTAAATAGGTATTAAATGTCTACCCTAAGGGTTCCTGGGAGGCTTAGTCGGTTGAGTGTCTGACTCTTGGTTTGGGCCCAGGTCATGATCTCATGGTTCGCGGGATCGAGCCCTGCGTCAGGCTCTGTGCTGACAGTGTGGAGCCTGCTTGGGGCTCTCTTTCTCTTTCTGTCTGTCTGTCTCTCTCTCTGCCCCTCCCCCGCTCACACTTTCTCTTGTCTCTCTCAGAATAAATAAACCTAAAAACCAAACGTCTACCCTAGTACCTACCTAGGTGCCAGGTAGGGAGATACCAGTGAACCAGAGAGACAACAATCTCCTGGAGTTTATATTCTAGGGCATAGCAGAGAAGCTCTGAAAAGGTATTGAAAGGAGGGGGGGAAGGGAGGATTTTAAATCGCTTTATACCCATATGATATTGAATCTTTAATGCAGTTTCCAATCAAGAACTAAGATTCATTGCCTCTGGCTAATCAGCAGGGGCACCACCAGTATTTCGATCTGCCCGGCCTTGAATGAATGAACCCAGATGAGGTTCCTAGGGGATAGGTGGGCTTGATGGTTTGACTTGGGGAAAGCCGAATGGAAATAGGGTACCCACTGATATCTAGAGGACAGAGAGATGCACAGAAGATAACCACACGCACGGGTTATGGCCAAGATGTTTTTACCTGAAATCATCACCAGAGGGAGTTCCTGCATTTGTGCCACTTGGGCTTCCATCGTCACTGTCCCCTCGCTGCTGTGCCAACCTGCACATGGCAAAAGCAATACAGCTATCAATTATGGGCTATAACTCAAGTGGAGTACGGCCCCTACCCCTGCAAGCAGGGTGGGGGTGAAGAGTCAACTAAAATGCTGCAAGGTGGAAGTGCATGGATCCTCCATTGCCTATCCTCATGGCAGGGAAAACCCATGAAACAGTGCTGACAAGAGCCCCTTCTCTCTCCAGGCCGTTAAGGGCTGGAGGAAAGGTTAAATTAGATATCCACAAAGGTCAAAGAAATTTCTTCTAAAAACCAGACTTTACAGGGGCGCCTGGTTGGCGCAGTCGGTTAAGCGTCCGACTTCAGCCAGGTCACGATCTCGCGGTCCGTGAGTTCGAGCCCCGCGTCGGGCTCTGGGCTGATGGCTCAGAGCCTGGAGCCTGTTTCCGATTCTGTGTCTCCCTCTCTCTCTGCCCCTCCCCCGTTCATGCTCTGTCTCTCTCTGTCCCAAAAATAAATAAACGTTGGAAAAAAAAATTTAAAACCAGACTTTACAGGGCCCAGAGAGCCCCAGGG